GTGCCGTGTGTAAAAACCCAGTGGTCCGTGTTTCGCAGGGTCTTTGAATCTACCAGCTGCAGCGGTGGGGATGCTGATCGGTGGCTTCATCATGAAGAGGACGGGACTCACGGCGAAGAACATCCCTCGTTTCTCAGTTATCATGCTGACCATCTCCACCCTCTTCTGCATCCCTCTCTTCTTCATGGGCTGCGACACGCAGAAAATCTCTGGGGTCAATTACCCAGTTGAACCGCAGGGGTGAGTGCAGAATGTCCGGCCGGCACATGAGAGCTGCTTTACTCTGTTGCCTCACAGCTCTCTGATGTCTCACAGCCAGTACAGTTACCACTTGAAACATTTAGGAAACTTCTGATTTCACAAAAAGTCAGAGAATGTCTACGATAAATGTTATGAGCTCAGACAATTATTTGATATTTATATTTTAAAATATCCTCCAACAGGGGATATAAAACTCAAACTGGAAAAATCCAACATCCCAGTTCCTGTTTTTTTTTTTTTTTTGATTAATCTTTAACAATGTTACAAGTTTTTTTTACAATTTCATGTAGGCTTATCTTGATTTCTTAGCTCTTTTGTTTATATTAATTTTAGGGTTTGTGTAGATCTAAGAGATGCAGAACATCCCTCACATGGTGTTTCTTTCAGGTTTTACAGGCTGTTTTGTTTAAATGACAGCTCATATCAGCCTGGTTTAGAGTGGAAACCAGAAGTTTACATGCATCAAATAAAAGGACACATACAAGCTTTTTCCTCACTGTTTGAAGTTAAATCAGACGAAACAAGTCTTTGAATAATTAACACATTTTACATTTATAATTAACATTTTTTGAGTTGTGGTTCTATTAATCAATAATATGTTATTAATTAATAAAATCATTTGTGTGTGCAATGATTTTTGGGTGGAGCATCTTTTTGAAACGACGGGTCATGCCCCTTTGCCATGTCATCAGCGGGTCAAGCTTTTGTTTTTAGATCAGGTTTTGCACCAGAGAAAAGCTTTGTGCTTGCATATTTGTAACACATGCTTATCTCTAAATCTCTCCAAAG